ATTTAGCATATGGAGGCTGACATTTTTAACTCTCAATACTTTCTTTTGTCCCAATCGGACTCGTTGGAGATTGTCTAATCCATTTTTAGTTCGTCTGATTAACGGGCGTAGGGGACGGTTGTCGGAGCTGTTGAAGTCTTTGGGCAGAGCGACTATCGAGTAGTGGCGGAGACAGGCGTAGGGGACGGTTGTAAACTTGTAAGTTCTGAATAACAGAATAATCCACCGAATTACCGGCAGGTTTAAGCTACGTGAGTTGTGACAAGAGGCATGATTGATGGCTTCTGTGTGCCAGGTTGAGATGAAAATGAATGTGTTAAAACAAAAAGAGATCAAAATGAAGGCATAATTTTTCGGAACGTTTTTAGCTGAAAGATCATGCGAATTTGAACTTTGCAGGCGACATGTTTGTTGGTGGTCACTATTTAGTTTTTGTCAGCTGAACTTGGACAGGTCATATGCAGATTCTATAACACCTCTATTTATTTACAGTTGGTACATAAATAGCATAGCTAAAACCATGACACTTATTTTGGAGCGGAGGAAGTATCATGCACAACGGAATGTGCTATAATGTGATCCTAAATAAAGATTTAGCATATGGAGGCTGACATTTTTAACTCTCAATACTTTCTTTTGTCCCAATCGGACTCGTTGGAGATTGTCTAATCCATTTTTAGTTCGTCTGATTAACGGGCGTAGGGGACGGTTGTCGGAGCTGTTGAAGTCTTTGGGCAGAGCGACTATCGAGTAGTGGCGGAGACGACCCCCCCCCCCTCCCCCAATTAGGAATTTGCTGGTAATTCACTAATTAATGGTGCGTAATTAGCAATTATTTGCTGTTTAAAGTGTTAATTTTCTATACTTTGGCCCTCCCCAACCTATTTTGAGAGCAATCGGCCCCCCAATCCAAATTTTCTGGCTCCGCCACTGCTATCGAGCATTGTAAGCGAGAAGCCAATGGCGCTACATATGAGATTGCTCGCGTTTGTTTTGAGGGGAAGTTTATGGAGGTGTGGCATGATAAACCCCCGGAATTTCTCCTCCCTTTTTCTATTGTATAAATAAATAACAAAATATGTATTTGGCAACCCTGTGACAGATTGCAAAAATGCCACACCACCTGGATGCCGTCCATTTCAAATCCGACGCACGAGCTGGATGCCATCAGTTTTTTTATCGTACGGTCGCGATCTCGGCACTAGGTTGCTGGAAACGGAGAAGATGGAGTAGAGACATATTTACGCATGCATGCCACCGCGAAGTGAACGCGTACCGATTCGTTCGACCAAAGTCAAGCGGTTCCTTTCCTCTCTCACCATGCCGCGATAAGATGGAACTCCTGTTCCCCGCGGTCGTCAATACTCTGTATTCCTCCACCTCGATCCCATAGCTCGTCCTCAATCTCACTGTCGGCCGGTCCGGTCGTCCCTGTAGACTTCTCCATCAACGCCCAGTCGTTCGACTTCGATCTCAACTCCGCCGCTCGTCCTCGACCTCACAGTCGCTCCGCTCGTACACCGCCGGCTTGGCCGCTTTCCCCGTCTGAGCTGACCTCCGAGATCGTCGCTGTTCTTGTTCCCATCTGTGCTCGTCCCTGTTTTGCTTGTTCCTTTTGAGGTGAGCGAGGAAACTCCTCCTTGTAAACATGTCTGAGCTCGTCCTTGCCATGCTCGTCCCACACAATAGCAGCATTCGTCTGAAGGTGCAGGTGCGGAAGCTAGACAGCACCTTCATGGACTGATAGGTCCGGGTGCCGGCTGCAACCCTCCATTACATCAACCGTAAGGTATAAATTCTAGGTAAGATCTGAATTCTAGGTAGGTGAGTTTTCTGGATTTTGTTGTGCTAGCAGAGTAACTAATTCTAGGTGGGTGCTTTTCTGAATTCTGATGTACTAGCAGAGTAGCTAGTAGAGAATAAGCCGCCTGAGTGTGCTGGATCCCGGTGTGCAAAAATGATTGATATATATGCACAGATGTAGCACATGTATCAGTGGCATAACCACATTATTATGATGTATTGCTAATCTGCCTTGACAGAACAGAACATAATCAAGATTATTTATCATTGTTCTTTTTCCAAAATTTTATAGTTTCGTCTGATTGAGTATGATTTCTTCTCCACATCTGTACATGATTCAGTTTAGCCATGAGCCATTCATACAATACTTGACAGTTTTGATTGTCTTCGACGCGCACATGATTAGCTCATAGTTTATATGGTGGGTTATATGTATGTTGTGAACAAGAAACTAAAAGTCCAAGCTCTATTCTGGATGTGACCTTCTTAGACCATCCTGCTGCTAGTTCAAGGAACCATATAATGATGCCTCGTGAGATTTTTCATCTAGTACATATGCAGAAACTCCATTAGCCTTCTATAAAGTAACATGCTCACATGAGAATGTTTGTTGTGAGAGTACTTGACCTGGGTTAGCATCTTAGCATGACAATCTAAACAAGCAAAATTACATTTTATTTCATTTCTGCTTGACGTGTCATGAACATATGTTGCTCATATTAACCATATCCATATTCTATTTCTATTTGTTGAAAAAATAACCAGGGTAACTTTTGTGTAAATAACACGGTAATATGTGCATTGCAGACCTGTAATGTAGGCGCAAACACCGGGATATTTTTAGACCCGAAGAAAAAGTTATTGAAAACATACCCATTGTAAATTCTTTGTAAGTAGTATGGTATATATGCACCATATACCTGATAATTTACGTATAAACACCGTAGTAACTATGACCATGAAAGGATTGTTGAAAATATACCCCGGTAATTTTTGTGTAAATAGCATGATAATATAGGCATCACAGACGTGATAACCTACGTACGAACATCATGTTAACTTTGACCATGGGAAAGAAAATTATCAAAAAGATACACCTGGTAAATTAAGTGTAAATAGCATGATAATATACGCACCGCAGACCTGATAACTTAGATGATAACATCAGGGAAATTTGAACCCGAGTAGAAAAATTGTTGAAACATACCTCCCTAAATTTATTTGAAAATAGCGGTAATATACAAACCGCATACCCAATAACTTGTGCAGTAACTTTGACCAACGAGGGGAAAAGGTTGTTGAAAACTATACCACGGCAACTTACGTGAAAATAGCACGGTAATGTATGAAGTGCATACCCGATAACTTACGTAAAAGCAGCGCAGTAACTTTGACCAAGGGGAAAATAGTTGTTGAAAAACACACCCCAATAACTTATATGAAAATAGCACGGTAATGTATGACCCGCATACCCAATAATATACGTAGAAAATAGCATATCGTTTTTCTTCTACTAAAAAAGTACAGTAGTACCTTATGTTCCTCTATTCTATAGAAAGGATGATCTTTGTTGGCCTTGTTCTGCTGAATTTTGCATCGCTGCTACAAAGAAACCGATTGGTTTTGTTTTTGAAGGCATAAGAAATGAGAGTTTTGTTTAGCTGTATATGATGTTACAATTGTTGCTCATTTGGTAACTACCGATGAAATGAGAGCATTTTAGCTATACATTTTTGTTGCTAACAACAAATGAAAAATATTGGTGACTTCTGTTAGTATCGGACGATAACTTTCGACCCCAACAAAAGGTTGATAACTTTGAAAAAAGTTCAGATTTTCATGTCCTGGTAACATATGTGTAAACACTATCGTAATTTACGTGTCGCATGTGCAGTAAGTTAGATACCGCACGAGCGGTAACTTACATCACCCATGCCTGATTACCTTTTGGACTTAGATTTTCTTTAACTAAAACATATCTGGTAACTATTATGTGTATAATATGATATTTTATGCACCACACGCCTCATAAATTACGTGCAACAACATGGTAAGTTTGGGAAAAACACCCCCAAAAACTTACGTGAAAATAGCATGATAATATACAAACTACATACTCGATAATTTACATACAAACAGCGCGGTAACTTTGACTAAGGGAAATTTGTTGAAAAACATAACCCTGATAATTTATGTGAAAATAATACCGTAATACACGAATCGCATACCCGATAACTTGCATACAGACACTGCGTTAATTTTGACCAAGGAGGAAAAGAAGTTGTCGAAAACATACCTCGATAATTTATGTGAAAATAGAATGCTAACATACGAACAACATCCCCGATTACTTACATCCAAACATTGCGGTAATTTTTTACCAAAAAGAGGAAATATTGTTTAAAAACATACGCCGGTAACTTATGTGAAAATAATATAGTGATATACGAACCACATATCCAATAACTGATAATATACGAAATCCATACCCAATAACATAAGTTCAGACACCACGGTAATTTTTTGGTAAGGCTACCAGTTTGGATTTTCAATGATCACAATCTTTTATTTTTGTTCAATCTTGTCTCAGGAAGGTACAAGTAGCATGTACATTGTGTCTAATCACTAAAGTTTGCTAGCTCAGCTGGAAATTTCATCCAATTTAGTATGGGAGGGTCTGGGTTCGATCCTCTTATGTCCCATTTTTTTGTCTATTTTTTAATTGCCGGCGGCCTAGAAAATCAGGAGGGGGTTCGTTCCAGAGGTGCGGGGTCGAAGGGAGGGGTTCGTTCGACAGAAAATCGAGAGGGGTGGGATCGAAGGGAGTGGTTCCTGAGGTGGGATGCCCAAAAAATCAGGAGGGGTCCTCTCGAGAGAGGATGCGGGGTCGAAGGGAGGGGGTCAAGGCGGGATCGAAGGGAGGGGGTGGTATGGTACTTTTGCAATCTGTCACACGGTTGCCACGACAGTCCAAAAAATAAATGATATGTTATTATTTGAAAAATAAAGTCGCTGAAGTAAAAAAAATTGCCCTGTGCATTTCCGTGCGTTTTTGTTTTTTTGAGAGAGAACCGTGCGTGTTGGGTTAAAGTAGGCAACCGACTTGAGCAAACCCTCTGCTACCTTCCAGCGCCTCCTCCCTCTCCAGTCTCCACCCCCATCGCCCGACCGCCGCCGCCGCCGCGTCCTCCACCGCCATGTGGCGAGACGAGGGGATCGAGGACGAGGAGACCCTGAGCGCGTTCCTGGAGGCCTCCAGGACGCGGGAGGGCCGGGCGGCGCTCTCCGACGCGCTCGCCGACACGCTCCACCTCCTGCCGGCCTCCCCGGCGCCGCTCCTCCTCCTGCGCCTCCGCCTCCTCCGCAACCTCCTCGCCGGCGACGCGCTCAACCAGGGCACCTTCGTGCTCCTCTCGGGCCCCGCGGCCGTCGTCTCCGCCGCCCTCTCCATCCCCGCCCTCTCCCCCGACCTCGCCCGCGCCGCGCTGCAGGCCCTGGGCAACGCCGCGCTCGGCGGGGACCGGCACCGCGAGGCCGTCTGGGACGCGCTCTTCCCGGGGGCGCTGCGGGAGTTCGCGCGCGTCCGGGACGCCGGCGTCCTCGACCCGCTCTGCATGGTGCTCGACACCTGCTGCTCCGGCGACGGCGGCCACGGGAGGGTCGAGGAGCTGTGCCATGAGGACCTGGGCCTGCCCGTGCTCGTCGAACTCGTCGCCACCGCCTCCCGATGTGAGCCCACGCCCGCCGCTGCTGGTATTGGTTTATTGCTTTTGCGTGTTCACCCATGTCTGCTGCTAGATGCCTAGATGTGCAACTGTTTCATAGCTGCATTTGCTTTGCAGCTGTAGTAGAAGTGTGGGTTGATTGAGCTGTTTGTTTTTATGAATCCTTGTTATGATGATCATACTGTGTAGGTTATTATTTCAGCAATTGAAAGATTTGGCAAAGTGTTAAATAGATCAGCAACTGTAGACAGGAATTTGGACCAATTGGATGTCAGATATTTAATGCTTCTGTGACATTGCCAAGAAATTTTAACCATGGACTCAGCCTTGCTCAGTGGTTGTAATGAGTTCACAGTTAGATTATGGTCATTTGCTATTTAGTGAAATGCGGTTTTGGACAACTTTGGTTTATATCACCTGTTTGTTTGGTTCATTTTTCTGAAGCATGTTAGCATGACTGCTCGACCTGTTGCAACTTCTTAGCAAGAAAAAAAAAGTGGTGTCATATGTTTGACATGTTGCTGAAGTATTGGTCAGTTGCTTGATAGTTGGAACTGTTACTATGTGTTTTAGTGTAGAGTGCGAGCTTACATGTGACGTTAGATCATAGAACCATATCTGACTTGTTGAAGGCAATTTTTTCTTATTGGTGACTAATCGAATGTTATAGTTAGTTTTTTTTTTTTTGCTTCTTAGGATGTAGTTGGTCACATATTGTTCTCTGGTTAATTTATTTGATTCTCCCATTTTCTCCTTGGTTACTTTGCACATGATGCTAATATAAATTATGAAATGCAGTGGGGCACAAGGAAGAATGGTTGGAGTGGCTTCTCTTCAAAATCTGTGTTGAGGAGGAGAAGTTCAAAACCTTGTTTGCGGCCCTAGGTTCAACTGATGGTGGTGAATCTGGAAATGAGTTCAGTGCTAAGCATGCATTTCTTATGGGTACATTGTCAAAGTGTTTGACTGAACGACCTGAAGAAGTTAGTATCTCAAACAGTTTTGCTCTTCATGTATTCAATATACTGAAGCATGCTGCTGAGACTCTGGATTTTACTTGCCGAGGTAGCTCTGAGCTTCCAACTGGTCTCCCTGGAATTGATGTCCTTGGATATTCATTAGTGCTCTTGAAGGACATATGTGCTTGGGAACCCTCTTCATCAGAGACTGAAGCACCAGTTGACTCACCGTTGCAGGCTGAGCCCTCTTCATCAGGGACTGAAGCACCTGTTGACTCACTGTTGCAGGCTGGTCTTGTAAAACGCCTCTTAAAATACCTCGGTGAGCTTGAGCCCCCAAGTACAATCAGGAAAGCGATGGCAAAGGAACAAGGAGATCAACAGCCAGCTTTTGCAACTGCAAAGGTCTGCCCATACAATGGTTACAGGAGAGATTTGGTGGCTGTCATTGCCAATTGTTTGCATGGAAGGAAACAGGTGCAGGATGAGGTTAGGCAGCTAAATGGGATTATGTTGCTGTTGCAGCAGTGTGTCATTGATGAAGGAAATGCATACTTGAGGGAGTGGGCTCTGCTAACTGTGAAATATTTGCTTGAAGAAAACGAGGAAAATCAGAAGGAGGTATCTGAGCTTCAGATGCAAGAACCTATTCTAACTCCAGAGGTCGCAGAGTTAGGCCTAAGAGTGGAGATCGACAAGAAAACGGGTCATCCAAAACTGGTCAATTCCTCCTGACGTAAAAACGTAAGTTAGAATCTGATGTCTAATAAATCTGCCTGTGCCCCACATCCTGTGCTCCTTCTACACTTGTTATTTATTCATATTTGGTTCACATACAGTTTCCAAAGTGCTTAGCGCAGAGCATTTCTGGCTCTTTTGAAATCTTATTCGTACATCTGCTGTCTAAATTTGTGCTTGTCCTATTTCTGCAGCTCCTATCTTGTGATTGGCAATGCCTGGACTTACTATCTGGATGCATGTTTAACTTCAGCACATGATGAAGGTACTGCTCTTTAGTAACGCTATAAATCTTTGCAGCAATCTTGAATGCTTATGCTTTGAAATGTGAACTGGTCACATTTGCGTTATCTGAGAGACTGTTTGATTTTGCAGATTTTTCGCTTTGGACTGCCCTGTTTGAGACGAAAACCAGTAGAAACTTCCGCTGGTCATGGTTCTTCTAGACATCAGTGGGAGAAATGTAAATGTCGGATGCTGCCGCCCCAGGGGAAATAGGGGTTATATTCTCATTAAGTACTTCTAGTTCTGGCTATGACTACCAGATGCAACGTCTGTCATTTTAAACTCTTGTGCTGGGCTATGATTACAGATTCAAACATTTTATGTAGTGTAGACACTTGAAATGTTTTTGGATCCGAACCGTTATGTACTGTCGCACAAACAGTGATGTGGGAATAGGCATATGGTTTGATTGCCGTTTCATGTTTTGTTTCTGAAGTCAGTGTGCAGTAAAACAACATGAACTGTCTTTAATTTGTGTATGCGTTGACAGTCACTGCTTGTTTTGTTTGGCTACTTTGGTGTTGGACATTTGTAACTTCTCTTTTACTAGATTTTAATTTTGCTCGGTAAAAAGCTCGACCTGCTTCTGGACGCTCAGTCCTGATCCAGGAAAGGATGGAGGCGGTAGAAGCTCCAAACTAGAGTCAGGATTCAACTTTTGCAGGTTACAGTCATATGATGTGGAGGACAAAGTAGAGTAAAACATATCCATGATGACAAACGGTAGAATGTTTTTGAGCATTTCCAGCATTACAGCAGTTACAAAACTCTTATACAGCGGTGCATGATGGAACACAATTTTTGATTAGGCAGGCCGGCATTTCCAATGTTGCAACAACTACTTCTCGATTTTACCTCTGGGGCTTCTGTTTTTCACACATATCACAAAAAGCTAAACCCATTGGCCCTTGGTCTGAAACTGGCTTCGAAGAAATTCAGCTAAGCAAACACGACGTCTGAACGGAGCACGTACTTGACGTTCTTTTTCACGACGCGAGCTTCATGCAGCATGCACCTGGCGCCATGTAGATGGAGTAGAGCCATTCCTTGCACGGGAGCAACCTACATACATGTAGATAACTTCACATCAAGGCCAGCTAGCTTGGCAGTGACAGTGTTACTAACTGTATGTAAGAACGAAAAGGATGATTTCATCGCCTTCACACAGCACCAGGATATTTCACAAGGCTAACCATGTATGAGACCCTCTTGGTTTTCATAATCTGACAGTAGTTAACAATCCAAGGGCAGACTCGTAATACAGAGAACATGCGCATCTCATACTCCTTTTTTCTGATTTCTCAGCAGACATAATTCTCCAGTTCCCCCTCCTCTATAGCTAGATCGGATGCTCATATGGGCACACATCAATATCAATCTTAGCCACCGGATTAGCAATTCTAATGTGTGTGACAAACGAAACCAATGACATAATGTATATCCGAATCCGACCTTTACTACTAGCACTGGTTTTCCACAACAGAGGAATTGGCTGACAAAGCAACGAGGCAAAAGATTTTATCAAACAGATGGGTTTTGGAATCAGAAAGTACCTCAGCAACGATTCCTCCTCGGTGATCATAAAAGACAGTCTCCCCTCCAACAAGAGCCTGCGAATCTTTCGCGCTTCCCTTGCCAGAAAGGTATACCAGCAATGTATACTGCGTCCTAGAACCGTCCCCAAGGTTGACGCTCTCATCGATATGCCTGCCGAAGCGCTGACCTTCAACGTACCTACAAGCAACAACATCAGTGACCGAACCTGTCCAACAGCACGATACTAACACAACAGATCTGAAGTTATAAATCGGTACATACCTGTAAAGTCTGATATTTGGGTTCAAGCCAGTTGCCACTTTGCCGGAGATGTTGATGTCCATGAATACCCTGTTAATCCCTGATTCCCAGAGCGTTTGAGCGAGCAAGGGGTCCGTGACAGATATCCGGTCATTGTCTCTGTAAGCCTCCCCCTTGAGTGGCCCAAGGCTGCCCTGGTGCGTGAAGCCCATGGATTCAGCGACGTCGACGAAAGCCTTCGCCTCAGCGGAAGTGAGGAAGTCAGGGACCTATATCAAGTGTGGCATTTGTCCATGAGCAACACAATCAGGTAAAGGTAAATTCAACAAACTATCATATCAATTCAGGAATTTCCTAGTATCATTCTTTCAGTTTGATCAGACAGCACATCATCACAAAACATCGTCCCCTCCATACTCGCTAGGTAATATTTTTCCACAAGTGGCGTGACAAAAAATTGGTGCAGGCTGAGTCTCCCCTAGATGCTCAGCAACATCGTCAGACATCAGCCCTAGATGGTAATCCCCTTCCCCTCCTAGCGGAATCAGATCGAGCTACCTGATGCCTTAGATGCGGGCGTGTGACAAGGTCCCTATGGTAATTGCGTCAGATTTAAAAGGGGGGATTGATTGATTGGCTTACGGTGAGGAGCTGGGTGCCCTTGAGGCGATTGACCAGGAGGTCCTTCTTGGGCTTTACCGCCGGCCATGCCCCGCCGCTGCCGCTGCCGGTGGCGCCGCCCTTCTTCGCCTTCTTGGCGGCGGAGGATTTCTTGTGGCGCTGCTGCGGGGCGCCGTCTCCTGCCTCGGGTTGCTCCATGGGTGGTCGCCTCTTCCGGTCCGGCGCCGGTGGTGGCATAGCATCGGGTTGTTGAGGCGGCCGACCGGGTTGGACCCGGGCCGGTTGGGTCGCTGTTCGACTCGTCAGGTCTTCAGTTATTTCTTTATTTAGTTTTTAAACATAATACGCAATTGCCATTTTGATAAAACCATCCTTCGTTCTTTGAGAATGAAAAAAAAAGTTGCCATCCTGATGGCATATATTTTATTTATGGCGACTACTCAGCGTCGGTGTGCCGGCCGAAAGTTTCGGCCGGTCGCATGCCAGCCGCTGGATTACTTCATTGGTGTCTGTAGATTAGAACCCCCCACGTCATCTTTTCCATCCCCGCTTCGTCTCAAATCGGATCGAGAGAGATGAAAAACAGCTTTGACGTGTTGTAGACAAATTTGGTATAATTCATGAGAGGACGTCTCCCTACATACTAGAAACATGAATTCTACTACGATCTCGAATAGGAAGAATATAATTTGATCTGTGCAACGGGAGAGGACCACGTACTAGAAACATGAATTCTACCACGATCTCAAACAGGAAGGATAGAACTTGATCGAAAAATTAAACGGCTTATGTCCGATCGTGATGGAGAGTATTTTTCCCATGAATTTGATCTATTTTGTGCGGAACATCTGTTACTGTAGTCATGATTTATGTTTCTAGAATTCATGTTTCTAGTATGTGCCCTAGATGCGATTTGTTCATCTGCTATGCTAGTTCGCATGATTAGTTTAATCTCTGCTACTGTAATCATGATTTATCTTTTATTTATTCGGATTAAATCTCGTAGTAATTTGCTCATATTTCCAACAATCCAAAAACCTGATTATAGGCAATTTACTCCGAGTGGTTTTGCTGCGCATCTGAAGTCGCCCGCCTTTAAGGGGGCGCAATATAAGAGGTGGCGCACGAGAGCAGTCTACTGGTTTCAGACCATGGGCTGCTATGACGCTACCAAGGGCAAGCCTGAGGGCGATCTTAATCCAGCACAACTGGAAGCTTTTGAGAAGATCGATACTCTCTTTAAAGGCGCTCTTCTGAGTGTTCTAGATGATTCCATTGTGGATTCGTACATGTAGTTTGAAAACGGCAATGACATGTGGGCTGCGCTCGAGGCCAAGTTTGGTGCCTCGGACGCCGGCAGCGAGTTGTATGTCATGGAGCAATTCTATGACTACAAGATGACTGATGAGCGCTCTGTTGTACAATGGGCTCATGAGAGACAGTCGCTCACAAAAGAACTTGAGTACTTCAAGTGTGTGTTGCCGGACAAATTTGTTGCCGGAGGCATCATTGCCAAACTTCCACCTTCGTGGAACAATTTTGCTACTTCCCTGAAACACAAGAGACAAGAGTTTTCCGTTGCGGATCTCATTGGTACTCTTGATGTTGAAAAGAAGGCGGGAGCAAAGGACACACGTGCTCGAGTTGCTGAGGGAGCTTCTAGTGCCCACATGGTACAGAAGAAGAACTCCCATCCCAACAAGTTCAAAAACAATAAGAACAAAACTCAAGGCAAAGGCAAGTTTGATACAAAGAACAAGCCATTACATTCTACCAACTTTAAGAAAAATTCTCATAAGAAAGGGAAGGGACTTTGTCATGTCTGCGGTGATCCTAATCACTGGGCTCCGAAGTGTCCTAACCGCTTTGAGGAGCGCGAACATGAAAAGAGCGGCAAGTCCGCTAATGTTGTCATCGGTGATATTGATATGAAGGAATTAGGATACGGTATTTTTCCTTCCATCCTTTTAGTTTTTGAATCCTCTGATTGGTTAATTGACACCGGTGTCAATGTACATTTTTGTGCTGATGCCTCCATGTTTTCTTCTTACCAGGCAACAGGGACTTCACCCGTGCTAATGAGGAACGGGTCACATGCCATTGTTCGAGGTGTTGGTACGGTCGATCTGAAGTTTACTTCGGGGAAGACTGTGCGTCTGAAGAATGTTCATCATGTGTCGTCCATAAATAAAAATCTCGTTAGCGGTTCCCGTTTATGTCGAGATGGTTTTAAGTTGGTTTTCAAATCCAATAAAGTTGTAATTTCTAAGTATGGACAATTTGTTGGAAAAGGC